TCGTAAGCCATTATCCGAGCTGCAGCGATAACAAAAATATTGACGAGTTATTTCCAACGATTTTTAAATTGGCAGCCGATAAAACGGGTAGTAGGATCCGGCACTTATGTAAATATAATATGACAATAATTATCATCAATATCATCATTGTCATAATATGCTATAGTAGTAATTTTTGTTATTATGTAAAATGTATACCTATAATAATAATCTTCTGATTTGATACAAATTGCTTACAAATTGTAAGTCCACAATTAGGTCCTTGAATTTGCCTCCATGAGGTCATGTCCATTTATGTCATCAACTAAATTTAATTAGAGCACCCAAATAATTTTGTATCTGAGTCTGCCATAATCAATAAATCTACAACTTTTATAAGCAACGTTTTGTTTTCCGGAAATTTCTATTTGTGCAGTCAACAAATTTCTTTCATTCGTGCCTAGTACAGCAAAATTTCTCCATAATGAAATCGCATGGAGCTAAATATTTTTCTGTTAAAGAGTTTTTCGTTATAGAGAGATAGAAATTGCATATATTATCTGCACTAGGACTATTGACATTTTCCGTTATTAAGGAGGATTCCGTTTGATAGAGGGTCCGTTATAGATAAGTTTTACTGTACGAAGATCCTAGAAAAATTGTTTATGAAAATGTATTTCTTAGCATCGATCTCTTCAATTCGTCAATCCTACTTGGAGTTGCACATTTGAAACAAAGCTACCCTCTACGGAAGCAACTGAACTCACTTTTGGCATTCTGGGATGTATTTATATTTTGTAACCCTTACTTCTGTTGTCACCTGTCTGTGACAAATGACAATCTCAAGTGTTTGATTTAGCTCTCAAGTGTTTGATTTAGCTTCATCATCCACTATTTAATCTAGATCTTGAACAAAAATCTTTCCATCTTCTTCACTGCTGTATTATTCTGTATTATTGTAAATTGCTGATTCGAGTACCTCCACTAATTTTGAGCTTTTCTCGGCTTCGCTTCATAGTGATACAAATTTCTCCGTCCTTTATTCTTTTGAAAGCTGTTAGTTATTAGACATTAGACACATCACATACCTCGTTAACATTACTGATTTTTCTCAGCACGTTGGAGTAGCAACTATCTTCCAATTGAACCAATATGACAG